GTGTCCCAGCCACCAGACTGTGGGGGACACAGCACCCGCACCCCCTCCTCGGGGCAGCCACAGCACGGGGGGACCTGCAGAGCACCCCGCCGGATTGCTGTCATCCCATTCCGGTGGAAAAGGGGGAAATAACTGTTTTCTGAGCAGGAAGGAACAGTGAGCTTAGCACAGAGTAGGAACAGGCCGTACACTATCCCATTCTCTCTCTCACGGTAGTAACCAGCTCCACAAGGCTGCTTTTGGCCAGCATTAGTTAGGGTTTAGCACAAATTATGCTGCCTGAGGCCATATATTTATATATTCCATGGCCGTTATTGATGAAGTGATAGCAGGGAGTCCAGGCTGAGGGCAGTGAGGTGTTTCTGTCTCTGCTGCGATTGCAGCCAAGGAACAAGCAGCAGCTCTTTGGTGCGGGTGCTCTGCAGCTCTCCTGCACTGATACCTGCAGGCCGAGGTTCTCCAGACAGCTTACCTGCCAGTGCATGGGTGGGGGGCTCCAGCCAACGATGAACAACATTTATCAAATACTAGTTTAAATACCTGTTGTCATTTTGTCCTTCAAGCAACACCGGGTGTTCGTGCGCGTTGTGTGACACTGAGAGGACGCCCATCGCAGCCAGGAGTCCTTCCCACGCAGGTGCTCTGAAGAGACGTGCCCCACTGCAGCAGCGAGATACGGCCAGTGACAAACACTAAAGAGCACAAGTCCCATTGATTTTTGCTTTGGCACTGAAATACTGCTCTGTATTATTTCCCAGAGTTTCAGCACACTTCTCCGCTCAGAGGAGGGAAAGCATTACAAATTAGAAAGAATAAATTCTATGAAAATACCTTTTTCTAATTGTTTTAGCCGCACCAGCAATATGAATGGAGCTGAAAATCTGTCGCCTTTGCGAATGGATCCGAAAAGACCACGAAGGAAGCCGGATCTTTTCCCCAGCCTTTGAGGGGGCTGAGAGTCCTCGAGGTCTCCAGGGCTGCTGTCACCTTGTCCCCTCGGCGAGCAGGGTGCTGTGCAGAGGGACCCCACGAGGTGGCAGCCTTACCTACCGAACCAGCCCGTGTCCCCTCCTGCAGCGACTTTTGCGGGGACCTCAGGACAAGGGAAAAACCCGCAGCACTCCTCTGCGAAATATCCCAGGATTTCCAGCTATTTTATACACTGTCAGAAAAAAATAATTTTGTGTACGCAGTTGAGAAAAACAACCTCCAGAGGTGCGGTCTGACAGTTTGCCAGAGTAAGTTGTTATTTCCCAGTGATAAAAGGAGATCTACTGCAGGCTCCAAAGCAAAAAGACTAAAAAGGAGGTCACAGATACGGTACAATCACCAAGTTAGTTGCCTCGAGATCAACTGTGATCTCAAAAAACCCACCAAACACCAGAGACTCCCTCCTCCTCTGCAAAGATCTGAGCAAACACACTGGCCTAGTGTGGTCCACACCACAAAAATGCACAGCGCACATGCACATAAACCTGAACAGGAGTGTTTGCATTCCACGACTGTCTTCACACTGTGCACAAACAGCTGCTGTTGCACTTTCCTGACCAGGAGTTCCCTTCGCCAAGGAGCGGGCTGCTTCCTTCCTTCAGCCCTGACAGGGTATCAGGGCTGACAAATCACTGGTTTTCTCAGCATCTGTATTTATGGAGTATGCTTCCACCCTAATACAAATGCACATGCTTTATGTGGCACATTTTGTCCACTTTTCCCAACAGCACATTGCCAGGACTTTGATTTCAAATGCAAATTCAGCTCAGATCCCTTTTAGGATCTATTGCTACTGACAAAAATCAATGCCACCTGAAATCTGTGAGTGATCTGCAGAACTGGAAAAGTCAGGTATTTTAGCTGCACACTGTTCTTCATCCTCCTTTCCACATGTGTGAACTGACTACCAGCTAGCCACTATCTCTGCATTTATCACTTTGAACAAAACATCTCAGCTTTTCACTACATCTTCAACTGTCTAGTTAAAAATAGACCAGATCCTAGCTTTCAGCCTGCACCTCATCATGCTATTTGTTTTATATTCCAGTATCAGCTTCTCCAGCTCAGAACCTGCCTTGTTTCCTGAATTCTGTTGTTTCAGTTTTACTTTGGCCAGGTATGCATCATCATCTATTACCCTCGACTATCATTTTAAAATAAGGCAGGGTTTGGTGGTAGCAGGCCTATAGCTTATGCCAAGGAGAAGGAAGGAAGGAGCGGATGGGACATTGCTGAATGCAAATTTAGTGATTCCCTAGTGATTCCCTGCAAAAAGGAAACTCCTCCTGCTGTTGGAGAATTGTTTTTCTATGATCACTCTTTGCAGATGAGTTTAACAAAGTACTCACATGATTCAACTTAATTCAGGTAAGGCAGATTGCTTATTAAGTATTACATTATCTTGATCAACTGCAAATTGTGAATACATCTGAAATATGAATCTCAACACTGTTAACAGGGGGTTTTGCATGGAAGTATGCTAATTCTGACAACAGCTCCAGTCAAACCTTGTTAATTATACCCTCAGCAGTAGCACAAACAATTACTGTATCTCCTTCGTTTTCACAGAATATTTAATAAGAGTTGCTGGAATGAGGTATTTTATTAGAATGTGGTTACTTTACAGAATACACTGGGGACCATTTATTAGTATAACTAGGAATCATTATAAAAACAAAACTCACCACTTCTGGTAAATCGAAGCAATGCATTATGCCTTCAGCTTTTGCTTAGTTGTAAAATTTCATAATTTACAATGGAATTCACAGTTAATTATGTAAGCAATAACACAGTGCAGCAGAGAGATAAAATGGCCAGCTGCCATTTTAACACACCTGCATTTCACATTAATGAACCGGCATATCTCAGATTGCTTTACAAACCATACATGTGGGAATCACTTTATCCACACCAGTCATAAGGAGAGGCGTATTTTCCCATTTCTCCATGCTGCGCATAAAAATATTTACCAGACTCTAAACTAAGTTGGTTACATAAAAGCCTGAGCCTCCCGTTGAGAGTTTTTCAAATCACTGAGAAGATCCACAGACTTCATAATCAAAATCCAAGTCAATGAGACTGAAACCCTTGGCTTAGGAGAACTCTGTGTTACAGCGTTTATTAAATAAAGATTCTCAATCTGAAATAAAACTATAGGGAAACTCAAAAAGGCAAAATGATCACTGATGATAACACCACAATTAAACAGCCTTATTTCCAGGGAAGACTTGTAGTCAAGTGGATACAGCAAAAGGCAGGCAAGGACTTCAGTTTCTCCGGTTTCATTTTTACACACAAATGTGTAAGTTATTGTACTTAATGATGACATCCTTTGTCAACTTTATCAAACCTTAGGCTGCAGGGACTATGATATTAAATGTTACTCCTGCTATTCTGGGGAACGTGCAGTTAGACCCTACGCAAACACACAGGTGAGGAAGTTTAGTCCTACCTGCAATAAACCTCCAGGTTTCTCACATCCTGGAAGAACGCTGGTTCAGTACAGGATATAAAAAACAAAAATCACTTAACCATCCTCAGATTCAGCAGTAATGTAGGTCTTCCAAGACCATCTGTCCAAGTCCATTTTCTTAGCCTCTCTTCTGAAATCTAATGTGATCTCAGGCCAAAGTGTGCCTGCAGGCTCATGTAATCACCAATGCATGCCTGCATACATGAGACCGTCCTATGTAACTACAGTACAAAAACCACTGAGCATACTCATTCCTCAGCAATAAATCCACTTTGTGATGGTACTAGGGTCTTTGCAGAACTGTTCCAGCTACTGAACATTCACTCCCTCCCTGCTCCCAGAGACATACGGATGCTGCCAGGAAAGGAACAGAGCAGGGCTTCTGTCTCCAAGGATTGCTAGCTCTGCAGAGAAAATTGAAGCAGTCACTGCTTTGTTCTGCCATCACATTCCTCCGAAGCCATCCCCCTGTAAAAGCAACCCTTGAGCAAATTTTCTTGCCACTGACTGAAGAGCTGAGTTGATTCTGCCACTGTGCACAGAGCAACATCTGCCTGCGAACAGCTGGCCCGCTGAAGCAAAGCTGGGGGCTACTGCCTGCTGCTTACAATGAGAATGTTCCTCAAAAACCTGAAAAATAGCATTTAACTCACTGAAAGAAAATTCAGAAACACTTGGCATGAATGTACTCTATACACAATCAGTACTGGGCATGTGCTTAAAGCGACAAGCACGGTCTTGAAAAATGACACTTTGCTAAATTGACAACTTAATGCTTTCACATGCATAGCAAGGCATAAACAACCCCTGAGCAAACTGATCTAGTTCATGAGTCAGCAGCAGTGTGAGATGGTGATTTAGGCTGAGCAAACATTTTCTCAAACGTTGGGTCAGAGAAGGTTGGTGGAGACTTTTTTTTAATGTATTGCTCTATGTGTCAATTGCTACCCTTCCATAGATTACAAAACTGTGTTAAGAGTTACTAAGGCACACAGTGGGTGTCAACTCCATCTACACTATCAGTCTGCCATTTAAGTAAAATCAATGTTCTTCACTCACATGAAAAGCAAAGCAACTCACCCAGCTATACAGTTTTGGAATAAAAAAATTTCACATAGCTGAAAGCAATAAAACTAAGTCCATTTTAAACTTTAATAAAAAACCAAGAAGGTGTTCTCACAGTTACCATTTACCTGTGTTGTGTAACTCACCAAAATTAAATTTCAGAAAGAAAAACACAATCAAACGCACACCTTATAGATTTCCATATTTTATATATACAAGAATGGAGAACTTTTGACTAGCAAATTCTACGAAGGAACCTTAACAGAACAGTACTGTACTATGGTCTCCCTAGCTCCACAAAGGAGGTGACTGTAGCTTCCCTTAGTGATAGATACATTCAAATAAATTAACATTTAGGATCAAATTGTCTCTCTGTCAAGCCCTACAAAA